TGAAGCTTTCCATTAGGATTCCCTTCATTTTATTATTTCATTTTTTCTTGGGAGTGATGGGTGATTTGATCATATTTTTTTGGTGAACCAGCAGCTAAACTGATAATTGAACCAAGGCTAATTTCCTAAGACAAAAAGGTGTAAAATAGGAATCATAGCAGCCCAAAACATCATATGAAAATACAGGGGAAAAGCAAGAACAGCTGAAAATTTACATTTTCAATCATAGCAGCCCAAAGCGTGCTCAACTAAACATGACATAGTTATAATTTAATCTTCCAAAAATCTTTCTAAAAGCTTTCAATTGTTTGAGTGGTTGAACAATTGAAATATGAAATGATATTGAGTACACACCCACACGTGAGACCCACTGACCTATAAACCTTGAAACGAATTTGGCATGCCATGCCATATTTGATGTTGTTGGTAAAGAAGACACACCCTTTTCATTGTCGGCAAAGGAATCTTCAATAAACTTGACAAATTGTTAAAAGCACCATAACAAACTTGAAAGGGATGAAAACAAATTTTACCTACTTTTTGGTTTGATGAAGTTTTAAGATAGATAGCAGAGTCGCACTTGCTGTTCTGCTGACTCCCACTTCATCATCCTCGTTATCTAAAACCTGTGAAAAAACTAGAGTAATAAAATCCTAAGTTATTAGAACAAAAAATCAAAAGTAATAAAATCCGAACTAAATCTCTAAATGGAATTTTCTTTGGAATGAGGTTTTATCAGCATATAGGGCGAGAGATACAAAGCATAGAAGAAGAGGCAAACCAAACGAGAAACAGTTCTATGCTATGTTGGAAATTTGCCTTCTTTGAACCATCTTTTGCAACTGCCATATCATTTGTTCCAATGCCAATAAACATGTCGTTTGAATCATATAATACCTGACAAATAAGATCAGTTGTAAATTTATGCAACAGTACGTACGTTGAGAAACAACAAGAGAAAATTAACAGGAGTACCTAACTAGTTGCAAAGCCTGGATATATTTCTACCCCCAACTCTTCTACCTTCACTCCCATCCATTGTACTAATTGACTTAAACTACATCACAATGTCCACAGTCAAGAGCTTTTTTTGGAAGTTGAAGCATAACTGTAATGTATCACAAAGAGTATTATACATGAAAGATACATTAAATCAAACGTTTATTCTATTAAAAAAAAAATAATGAAAATAAGTATTGACAAAAAAAATAATGAAAATAAAGAAAGTTAGTGCTTTCTTGATAAATTCCAGCAGAACTAAAGAGAGAAAAACAAAAGGCAAATGATAATGGTGCAAAATTCATGGCAACCAATAACACGATTTTGAACTACCTTATAACATAATTTCCCTTATTACTAAAAGGATATGGCAGTGAAAATGCATATCCTTTGTAAGAAACCAAAACTTGTCAGAAGTTACAGGGACTGATTGGTGACAAAGACAATATATGAAGGTTCTTATATAACAAAGACAATATAAACCAAACAACTCCTATTATAAAAACCATTGAATGGTAGCCTAATAAGTTCAACAATGAAA